CTGCCACAGCACAGTCACTACCTAGAAGACTTCTCAGCAACTTCAAGAGTTCTTGATGATAGTGCTTTCTGTCACATCCCTTCCATCACCTCACAGCTTTACAGAATCTTTTTGACCACTTGGGAAGCTACTGATTGTCATTACGAACTGGCCTATGCCAAACTTAAATTATGACTATAAACCTCAAAGTTATTCTTCCCCTCTAAGAACCTGCTAGTCCACAAGCCAGTTAGATTTTAAAATGCAGAATTTAGAAGCAAACCAATCTGAATTGCCTTGTCTAATGCATTGCTGCTTTTCAGGCTTTTATTTCACTTAATTCTATGCAAGAAGCCCAAAAGCTTTGAAATAAGATACTGGGAAAGGCTTTATTAATTAAAAGCAAGGAATATGTCCTCGAGTTCTTGATAAGCAGTTTACTGATGCAAGTTGCAGGTATGTCCCATGTGGGAACAAGACAAAGAATGAGCTCATAGCCAAGTCACATTTTCCCATCCTCCTACAGAACATTTCTCAATGTAGTGCACAGAATGAGTATGCAGATATAGATGAACAGTGCCATAACCAAACTGTGAAAAATAATGTTTTATGTTTTTTGGGGGTGGAAATGCCAGTCCAAGTTTGGGAAATTCTGTCCTAGAATATATTAAAGCTGACTTCACAGGGTGAAGCAGTCTAATCACATAAAGGCCTGTTCTATTGTAATCAGTGTGAATGCAGGGACAGACAACAACTTAAACGCAGAGGCTGTACTTCAATCACTGAGAAGACTTGCGAACCAGCTTCTCAGCCATCCTAGAAACAGGTCAATATCAGAAGAAAGGGTTGACACAATATATGACCACACCCTCTTGCAAGGCAATTACAGCCAGTGGTAGAGATAGATGCACATGGTATCTTTACTCACACATTGCCTACACACACAGTAAGGACAGCCCCAGTGCATAATATAGATGATGTGACTGAAACAGCAACATGTAATGGTCACCAAGATCCAGAGAAGAAGGACCACTTAGAAACAGCTTCAAACAAGAGCCATAAACAAATGGTTTCCTTAGTATATATAGCATGGCCCTACATTCAGTGCTGTAAGATGCTGGAGCTATTAGGCTAGACTAAGAAAGTCCCCTCCTTGTGTCACCTCGGTGAAGATGGCAGGGGGTGGGGCGAAGGGGGACGGGGTGGCACTCACCTGGGCGCAGGCTCGATGAGGGTGGTGGTGTCCAGGTAGTGGATCTTGTAAAACTCCAGCAGGGCAGGCAGGTGCTCAAACTCCTGGTCGCCGATCTTAAACCGGCGGTTAGGCAAGGAGTTAATGATGTAGTGGGAAACCCGGGAGTTCTCGGACACCGAGAGCACATAGTCCCCCGGGCAGGTGGATG